ACGCTGCCTTTACGTATGGTAGGTAGATTCGCGGCTTTGCACTATCCTCGACGAAATGCCGTGCATTGGAGATTGGAGGGCATTGTAAATATAAGAATTAAAATTATATTTAAAGAGATCCCATATAGAGGCAAGAGAATTAACATGAATAGTTAAAATTTAGTAGCACATCCATCCAACTGAACTGTCAAATACTTTTAATAAAATTTTCAATCTTATCACAAAGCAATAACGTCGAAAATAGATTAAAACTATTTGACAGTTGTTAAGCTGGGATTGTGTACAAAATAGGAACAAATACGTATTAATTTCTCAAGTAATTTGCAGAAAAAATGTATCGCGAAAGTATAGTTCGAAAGTATGGTCAAAATATCTTATAACTAACACACATGCGAACATAAACAGTATTGCAAAGTTGAGAAGGTTTAAATTTGCTTAAAAGCTAGCTGACAATATCCAAGTATATTATTGGTTAAAAAATCTATGTTTTATTGCGTTGTTTTGTTTTACTTACCTTATTTGTACCCTTACGTATATTATATATGTTTGGTGTACGTGTCATGTTCGTGAACGGGCGCCGTCAACTGGGACTGGTCAGATCCAGACAGTATTATTTACAGTCCTTTAAGTTTAAGTATATTTTTCAATCTCTTTGACTGGATTTTAGTGTTACATTGTTCTCGCACTATGTAACTAGAGAATTGTATTGTAAACCTGATTTAAAAAGAATATCCTATGGAGTTTCTTGCTCATTCTTCTTCCTAGGAATCTACACCTAGGAATGAGCAAATAGTTTCACTTTTAATTTTTTGTTTACGTTCAAAAGTGCCTTTGTAGTCTAATTGAAATAAATCATTTTGACTTTGACTTTGTATCACCCCTAAAATCGCATCCCTCAATTCCTCCTAATTAGGAATGCCTCCAAAAACATTTGAGTAATATTTAAAATCGACCATTGATTAAGAAATACTGCACATTTTGGAAATAGCTAACTTAGTATTTATTTCATCTACCTCGACTTTGACTGCCTCATTGCCCGAGTGGTCGCAAGTGCAACTGCTGGGCAAGGGGTCTCGGATTCGATTCCCGCGTCGGACAAAGTGCCAATGGGTTTTTTTAAATTCTCTGATGTAACACGGAGTCTGTAATTATGCTCGGTATATGGCAATAGGCTCACCCCTATTACATGGGACTCATAACATAAATAGTATAAAGTGGGTGTTACATTGTACAGTGACATTAAGTGCTGTAATGTGCACCTCCGCCTACACCTTCGGCGATAAAAGGCGCGATGTTATCTTTGTGTTGTACTATTTTAACGACAAAACTAGTTCGTCAGTCAGTATGTCAGTTAAGCTAGGTGCTCGATCCAAAAAACAACTTCGTATGGAGAAGAACTAACCAGAAATCAATAATTACCTACTCTATATATCTCTATATACTCTAGTATATCTAATACATAATATTTTTTGTTATGAGTTTTTTGTTTAATACTGAATGAACACAACTTAGAAGGAACTAGGACATATCATCATGATAATTATCATCAGCCTACAAGTGGCCACTGCTGACCATGCCAAAGGCCTCTTCTCACACGGAGAATGTTTGAGCATTAATCACCACGCTTGCTCAATACGTGTTGGTGAATTCAAACTTGGAAATTTTAAGTTGTTCACGTTGTTTTCCTTCACGGTATATCAGTAATAAACATTCCAGAAGGAAAATTGTGAGAATTGAACCCACAATACAATCGTAGTCGAAGCTGAAATATAAAAACCCTAAATCAAATCTTGGATATGATTTTTAACACTTCTCAACTTAACAATACCGCTACACTTATAATAAAAAGGTATAGATAAGAATTCCGTTTAAGTAGCTGTTTATACTTCAATAAAAAAATGTATAATATTCACCGCAAAATTCGAAGAATATAATGGCAATTTACAGGCATTAATTAATTTTAAAACTTCAAAAGCTAATTGGGTAGTTTACAGGGTATCAAAATTAAAAATCTAATTAGTCTGTCAGTTAAATAATGAAAAAATATTAGACACATATTTTTTATTTTCTCGTATTTAGTTGCAATACTTAGATAAAATGGCGCTAGGTTTAGGAGTGGGGAGGTCGTTGTGTCATAACGTGCTACAAAATGTGACAGGCTGTGACGTCACACGATATTTCAAATTAACTCGTCGAGTACCGGTTTTATAGACACAATTAAAGAACAATAGGTCGCGGTCACCGGTGACCGCTTGGTGATTGACAGTTTAATATATCGTCGAAAGTATTTAATTTTGTGAGCAAAGAAAAAATACGTGTCTAAATTTTTAAATAAGTGTACCAGACGGATATTAAAATAAAATTTTAGAAACTACCCTATTGGTCAGTCCATTTAGTGAAGCTAGTTGCGTCAGCTCATAGTGTAAATTCTACAGAACCAATAAGATTTTCAAGTACTTCTGAGAAAAACAATCTTATTTCTGATACACGTTGCGCACGTTTGCGCGATTCCCGTACGTAGCAATTCTTTGTGTGATCCACAAATTATTGTTTCGGGTCTGGGTGTCATGTATATGTGAACTTGTATGTTTGTAAATGCACCCACGCGATACAGGAGAAAATCCTAGTACGGCGCAACGTTAAAAAAAAAAGAAACATTCGAAAAGGGCCCTGAATTATTGTGTGTATTAACACTGACTAACTGCTGACTGCGAAGCGCCCGCTTTCGAGTGTACCATAATTGGTATAGTTATAGAATTATAGTTGGTCGACTCCTACCATACCAACACCGTACACTCGATAGTTACCACAGGATTTCAAGAAATGCCTACAGAAATTCTAGATATATTCACGTATATGTATCCGTCGACATATTTCAATAATATGGCACGTATAAACAGCTATTTAAACACATTAAAAAAAGTGAAACAATTGGTCGAGTGTGCAAACAATATTATACGATATCAAACTGAATACAATATCTATATCAAGTTCCAGCAGCAAAATAGCATAAATTTGACATGATTAAAAACACCACTAGCGCCATCTAGTCAGACGCAATATGAATATTTCCAACTTTTAAAACACTCGCGTAAAAAAGGTCGTTGTGGCGCGGAGGTTAAACTTTCAAGCCTGATTTATTGCTTATTCCAGGGTCGTTGAGAAAATAGGCGGAAAAAATGTCACTTAGAAATGATTGAAGCACCGATGTCAGCGGTTTATTTATGTTTGCGTGTGTAATGCGTAACCACGTTACCAAACTAATTAAAAAAAAACGACAGATGCCCTCCATGTCAATGTGTATATGTTCTGCGTGTAAGTGTATAGTAACCAGCAGCTGTAGCCAAATGCCATTTAGCGCTTGTCTACATGTACAATAGAAAACCAAATTATATGAAATTGACGTAAATTTTGACATTTGTCAGTGTCATCCCCATACATTTAGTTTTCTACTCTCTCGGTAGACAAGCGTTAAAGTGGCGTTTGGCTAAAGACACAGGTGCCACAGTCGTTGTTTCAAGAGACTGTGTCCGCCTTTTTTCATTGTCCTTGGCTTATTCCTTATCCGTGTTAGAAGAGGCTTTGGCTCAGCAATGGGACAGTTAATGGCCGATGATGAAGATGACGCTGTTTATTTCAAAATATGTTTGGAATATCACAATAGTCTTCATACAAGTCTTGTGGCAGATAATAAATATATGCACTTCCTCTTTTTTATATATTAGATGGGACTGATGTTTAACCACTATCTCGCCTGTTGGTAAGCGATGATGTAGCCTATGATGGAGCACGTCAACTCTTTAAAAAACCTATTCACTCTGGTCTTGAAGACACCCAGGCTAAATCCTTCAGGAAATACAGACTCTGGCAAAGAATTCCACTCGTTTGCAGTACTTTCTCTTCTTCCTTCCCTGTTTATCTTCCAATTAGTCTGACGTTTTGACGAGGTCGCACTGTTAGTAGTCACAATACCACTGATTAAGTTCTTAGTCATTGTAATTGACCGTTTGGATCAGCCGATGACTGTTGGAGTGGTGTTTTGGAGTGGAGACCACGTCTAAGCAAACGTAGTGTAGGGCGCCCACCAGGTAGGTGGGGTGACGATATCGGCAAAGTATCTGGTAGTGGTTGGATGCGTAGAGCTGAAGATCGAGCTCAGTGGCGTGCCATTGGAGGGACCTATGTCCAACAGTGTTTAGGGAACAGAGAGTTATAGTTCCCCTAAGTTCCTCCGACCAGGCGAGGTGACCGTGCCTAGCGGGCTTTCTGCCCAACAGTTGTTCGTTGGGAATTTCTATCCGTGTTAACTCGCATGTAAACTTCACATGTACGATGTAGGATTTCGTGACGTCATCCGTTGATTTGTTTCATCGATAGTCTGTGCGTGAACTGACATTTGACCTGCGACATGTGTCGCCACAAGTGGACTAGAACAGGCTGTTGATGATTTGAATCAGCCAAACTTTCATTTCACTTATAATATTAAAGAATGTTAGTCCTTCACAGAGTCAGTAAATGGAATATTCAATTTTTGGGGAACAAAGAGTATAATGTTCCCTAAGATCAGAAAAGGAGGATACTCCGACCAGGCGAGGTGATCGTGCCTGGCGGGCTTTCTGCCCAACAGTTGTTCGTTGGGTTTTTCTATCCATGTTTATTCGCTTGTAAACTTCGCTGACATGTACCATGTGTCGCCACAAATTCTTCGTAAATCCGACCTTTGTGTTTATCACTTCCACTTTAAATTCTATCAATATAATATTTATTAATTTTGACAAACTTAGACCATAGTATAATATTAACACCATAAATTGCAAAACCAGGTTAAACCCATTATACACTATTAACACCACAAATACCTTCAAAAAACTTAAAACCGAACCTGTATGAAAAATACGTAAAAATACACAAATTACAACATCTAAACATAAAAAATATCCCCTAAAGTCGTGTGCACACTCGACCAAAGTCACTAATAAGACTTATAAACAAAAACTTACGTTTAGTTGACGGTTCCCCATCATCAGATTTAGATTTCTTGGAGCGCGTCGTTGTAGCCGAAGCCTTAGACCGCTTCTTCGGTTTGGGATCATCTTCTTCAGTTTTTATTGGTACATCGAATTCTAGAAGGAATATTTTTAAATAAGACACAGATAAGACACTATCCTTATCGTCTCTAATGAGAACTTAGGGCGTAGCAGATTGTGCTGAAGTAGAGCATAAGGTCCTGTTCGTAAAATCGCAGTAGCTGTCAAAAATATTGACATTGGCAAATTCTCTATTGGCCACTAGACCTTAGTTCTCATTACGCTCATAGAGTTATAGTTCTCAATGGCCTCATTAGAGCACTCGTTAGACATAAAAAAGCTCTTATTAGGCTAGTTCTAACAATAAGTCTAAACATTCTATTCATTGCTACATATCTATACAAATAAATAAAATTGGAGCACAAGAGATATATAAAGCGAAAGATTTTGTTTGTTTGAACGCGGTAATCTCCGTAACTACAAAATTCAAATCAGACGATTTGAATAATTCTTTTTGTGTTGGATAGCGCATTTATCGAGGATGGCTATAGGCTATAACACATCACGGTACGACCAATAGGAGCTGAGCAGAGCGTGTGAACCGCGCGAAAGTAGCTAGTGTAGTATAAAAGGTAATTTAGTTACTTTTAAAATTTAGAGCACTTTGTTGTTAAAGAATTTTTTAAGTAATAGAGGGTTCGATAAAATGAAAAAAGAAAATATCCTAGTGGCTCCATTGTTTCTTGGCTCTCAAATGTAGTTTACCCACTACCTATTTAAATATATTTAGAGTTTCTATGAAGAAAATAACATGATGATTGCAAACTCACCAGCACCAGAGAACGCATCATCACCGGAGCCCATGTTATCACCGTCCGAGTCTTCTTCACCTCCAACTTCCACCTTCACAATATTCGCTGCACAAATACAAACATAATATTATGTTAGATACAATATTTTTATCAATGAGAGCTAGCATTCTTGCGTTAACACAGCGTGCCCCGTTTATTTAAACACTGTAGCTATCAAAAATTAATTGTTACAAGCTAGTGTCCACAATTACAAAAAATCCACAACATTTGTTCATTTGGACCGGAGTGATACCACGGCCGAGGAGAAAACCGACGTGAAACAATGCTTGCGTTGTGTTTCTTCGTGTGAGTGAGGTTACCAGAGGCCCAATTAGGCCCCTACCCCAGTCTCCTCAATCCTCAAATCCCCCACAATTCACAAATTCGCAAAAGTCCGGTAACGCACTTGTAACGCCTGTTGGTGTTTAAGGTGTCCATGGCCGGCGCCGATTGCTTACCATCAGGTGATGCATTTGCTCGTTTACTGGTTATCCTATTAAAAAGTCCTTAAACATCAGAAATAAGGTCTATAATGAGTGGAGAGTGGTGACCAGTGACCCTTTGGGGATGCTGCAATTAGGACATTCTCTGGTAGCTTATGGATATCCACTACATGAAGATTTTATTGTCTTGCTCGATTCTGTTGGTGGCGCAACGCAAGCCGCCTCTATGGTCTGGGTGCTTACTCTTGAATCCAATGCCAATCGATCGACATTGGTATTGTAAAATTTCGTACTCTTGAGTTGCAACACTAGCGCCCATTGCATCCGTATTGCGTGGATATTTAATGAACTAAATGGTATTGAGTTTGGATTTATATTCCGTACTCTGAATACTATCTTAACAGCTACGATTGTGGTTGTATAGTGTTGACATTGAATTATTATTGAGATTTTAATGGATTGAAATTGCATTGACATTGAGATTGGTATCAAGAGTAAGCACCCTGGTCACGCATGCTGTTTAAATATGATTATGAGCTACAAATGTGGCTTGAAACTATTTCAGTTACTACGTTGAACAGTAACACCATTAACCGATATAAAGTAAAATGAAATTTTTCTTTTTAGGCTTACATATGGACCCTGTTAAGCAGAAAGGATCCAGCCCACATTTTATTACTTTTAAATTTTTTTAAATAAGTAAATAAATGAAGTTTAAATCATACCTATTCAATAAGTACTGTGTCATATGATTTTTTTTTATTATCACCCCAACATTAGAGACTTTATTGACTCAAAAGTAATAAAATGTGGGCTGGATCTTTTCTGCTTAACATGGTCCATATACTCCTCATTATGATGTAGGTTAGAACTCACGTCTAAACAATGCCTTATTCTGCAAATGTTTCTTAAATTGTTCCTCGGTGAGTTGTACTTGCTTCTTGAAGTTGATTGCGTTGCGCAGCTGCGTGATGCAGACCTCGCATATACCACCATCTTCACCATGCTCCGATACATTTAGCTGTTGACAAACAATTAAATAATAATAATAATCTTTATTTCAGACGTAGGTCCATACACTTTTAGAAAAATAAAAGAAAGAACAATTGCAGTTAGAAAGTCAATTTCCAGATGTATTATATTTAAATTTTATTGAAGTTTTCAGTACATACATACATTATCTCATTTACCTCTTATGGGGGTAGGCAGAGCTTATGGAATGCCAATTGGAAAGTTTTCAGTAATGGGAGGAATTTTCTATTGGTATCTGAACATAAAAATAGGTACATGCCTATACCTGTGTTTATATTTTACAGCTTTAAATTCCTGAATCTAACATTGCATAAAGGGTGAAGGTATGACACGCTATACTTAGAACAAGATTGAAATGTTTGTAATAATAACTTCTAACTTTTTCTCAGTCTGTTTACTGACAGTTCTGAGAGATGACAAAACTATAGAAGCACAGATTGCTATTAGGTGCAGACAGATACAGTCTTACGTTTGTGGTTTATTTACTAACATATCAAATCAATCTTAGCATAATTGTACAATATATTTATTTTGAGCCAGCTGCTTTGCCAGCTTTCCTTAGAGATAAAAAGTAGCCTATGTGTTATTACAGACCATAATCTACCCCTGGTCCAAATTTCATCCTAATCCCTTCAGTCGTTTTGATGTGAAAGAGTAATAAACAAACAAACAAACATACATGTTCACAAACATTCGCATTTATAATTTATGTAGGAAGTAGGATACTTAGCTTATCTAAAGTATCTAGACTTATAAGAAAAGTCAAGTACCTAATTCAAACTTCATCAGCACCTCATTCATCAGATCTACACACATATTTCTCATATGACAAAAAATAATGCAGGTATGCAAAATTTTTTTCATGTACACACACACAATTTGTTTACAAACAAAATTCTCATAGAACACACAACATACCATGTATGACATTTTTATTAGATTTATTAGATTCTACAAAATAATTTTTAAGGTAGAAGTACAATTAGTTAAGCAAACATGCGGCCTCTTTAGAGAAACTCCTCTGGGAAGAAAATCGATAGGGCATGAAAGGGCAACCGATTTAGAAGGGTAAAAGAATTTTATTTATATACTAAATAATATTGTTGTTTTAACAGCAATTAAAATTTTACAGCCATTGTAAACGGCAAGTAACGAGACACGCTTGAGTTGCTAATCGAATTGGATGTTATACCACATAAAGATAGGTATAATTGCCGACCGAAAACGAGTAAGAAAAAACGAGTTACCACTACTCAAGTACACTTTTTATGTGATAAACAAACAATAATGAAAGTTTTACGTTTTTTGGGATTGTTTTCATAAAGTATTATGTCTTTGTATGGGATAAATACTCACATTTATGTCGAAACAATCCTTCAACATGTCGGCGTAAATCTCCTCTTCTCCCATCCAATGATATGTGCTTTTAATGTCTTTAAACGCACCTTCTGAAGCACAACACCGACACATATTGCTGTGCCCTGCAGTCTCCATCGTGTTAATTACACTTTTATATCACACGCACATAAAAATCTTAAATCTAATTGAAAAAGTCATAGGACGCTACAACTTCGAAGCTCCGCCATTTTCTGTAACTTTTTTTTTCGTTGTTTCATTTTTGGGTAAGAAATTAGTAAAGGCAAAGGTGACCGTTGTTAAACAGCCAGAAAACTTTATTCTTTGTAAAACAATTATTAATTGTAACGACTACAGCATTTTATCAAAATTAACAAAGGCATTAATTAATACTTGGCATTTTAAACAAGGCAACAAAATTTACTTATACGTATTTTAAAAGACAAAAAAATTAAAAGATTATTCTCAAAAGCCATTCCGTTTTCCGAAAAAGTAAAAAATGACAGCTAACTGTCATTCACTAGAGTGTGAGTTCCAGTCACAGTTTTATTGCTATGCTATCGAATGTTAGGTACTTGATTGTGCTATAGAAAGAGATCAAAACACTATAATTACGTATAAGTAAAAGAGATAGCATTAGAAGTAATGCTTTGAAGCGTAAATAAATTTTATATTATTCGGACTCAATGAATGTCATCAAAAATAATAGCGAATAGCTATTATAGTTAGAATTTTTATGAAAATTATAGGATTAATTGGTGTAAAAGTCGTGTAAAGTGTAATTAAAACCATGTCCTACGGCATAGTCTGCCGCTGCTGCCTTGTGCGGACTCCCGATAAAGATTTAAAAACTCAATACACTATATTGGGCAAATCTGAAATTTACGCTGATATGTTAAAGGAGTGCTTTGAAATTCAGGTAAATATACATTAAATAAAATCTCCTTTTAATAGAGAAACCTATAATATACAAGTTCCTGTAGATCTTTGTATTTTTTTTTTGTAAAATTCAAGTTTTATATGCACCTTAGTCTGTTGTTATTTTTATCAGTATTTTTGACCCAAATTTAGGAGGCGAATTGTTTTTTTAATGTATATTTAATTGTTTAACGCTGTTTCTAGAAGCCTTTTCTAATACAGAGTACAATATAGCAAAAAAATAAAACGATTTAAAAAAAATCAGTATGGTAAATATGTACTTAAATTAAATCACTATTTTTAAATACTAGTTCATACTGGTTCTGTTCATAACTATCAGAGATTTTATTTTAGTATATAGGTAACTTCTATTTCAATTCAAAAATTGACATTTTAAATACCAAGTGGCTATACTTAGCATTATTTTATTATATTGATAATAAATGGATAACAAAACTGCACTTATATTTGTCTTAAATCGGACAATAGGACTGTCTGATAGACCTGAACCTATTATATGGCGACCTCTATTTTTATTTAAAACTTACCCCAGTTCAGGATATTCACCTGACATCCTTACAAGCATACAATTTTACGTATACATGCCACCTACATCCGAAACTACAAATGTGGATCACACAAAGAGTTGCTCCGTGCGGGAATGGAACCCGCTACACCGAGATTTTGACAACCATCTTATAAAGGATGCAGCTGTGTGGACTGTTACCAATTAAAAGGACCTGGGTTCGATTCTCAGGTTAGGCAAATTTTACTGAAGCTAGTTTGTTGTGTTACTGAAGAATTTTGAATGATAGCATGTAGTCTGGAATTATGCCTGCTATGTTCACAATCATCTTTCTGTGGGCATCGGCAAATCTCCTGTCAATGTCAGTAAGGATGTTGATCTTATCTCCTTGAATCATCACTTCTCCCACTCCCCTATTTCACTTGACAACCTTACAAAAACTAAAACTCTTCTCAACCTTTCCTCTCAACCGCTTCCCTCTTGTTCTCCTTTTGTGCTCTGTAGTGTGCCCGAGGACGATATAAAAAAATCCATGCTTGCCATTAACTCCTCTGCTGTGGGTAGTGATGGTTTATGCTCCCGTATGTTCATCCCCATTCTTGACCTCCTCCTTCCTATTCTCACGCACATTTTCAATTTTTCTTTATTCTCTTGCTCTTTTCCTTCTGCTTGGAAAACTGCCCACGTTATTCCGTTACCAAAAACTAATAACCCTTCTACCCTTTCACATTACAGACCTATTTCCATATTGCCTTTTCTCTCCAAGGTCATGGAACATATTGTTCATAAGCAGTTGACTTCCTTCTTGTCGTCAAACTGCCTCATCTCTCCCTTTCAATCCAGATTCAGCCCTGGCCACAGGACGGTCACAGGTTTACTCCAAGTGATTGATGATATTAGCTGGGCTATGGACAATAAATTTCTCACTGTTCTTATGTTGTTGGACTTCAGTGTTGCCTTCAACTCTGGACGTTGACATCCTGCTGGGGGTCCTGAAGGCCAACAATTTCTCTTCTTCCTCTCTGGCCTGGTTTGAGTCCTATCTTCGGGGTCGCCGTCAGAGGGTCCGCCTTGAAGAAAATTTTTCTGATTGGTGTGACCTTGCTGCCGGGGTACCCCAGGGTGGCGTCCTTTCTCCTGTTCTTTTCTCCATCTTTATTAATACCGTTGCCAGGGTCATTTCATCTAATTTCCATCTATATGCGGACGATTTGCAGCTATACCGCCACTTTGGCCTGTCCGAGGCCCATTCTGCTATCGATGCCATGAATCGTGACTTGGATGGCGTTGCCGAGTGGGCTAGGTCTTTTGGATTGCAAATCAATCCTATCAAGTCTCAGGCCATGATCATCGGTAGCAGATATTATCGAAACGCTCTCGACGTCCCTAGCCTTGGTCCATTACGTTTGAATGGCACACGCATTCCATTCACTGATACTGCGAAAAACTTGGGGTGCATATCGACTCGAACTTGTCGTGGGCTTTTCAGGTGAACGAGGTTAGTCGGAAAGTTCATTTCTCCATTCACTCGCTGAGGCGCCTCCAGACCTTGCTTCCGGTGAAGACTAAGATTCACCTCGTCCAGGCGCTGATCTTGCCTCTCATTGACTATGCAGATGCTTGCTATTTGGACGCCACAGAGGAGCTATTAAATAAACTTGAGCGCTTACAAAATGTATGTATCCGTTTCGTCTTTGGTCTTAGGAAGTTCGATCATATTTCTGAATTCCGTAACAGGCTCAAGTGGCTCCCAATCCGTCTTCGCAGGAACACTCGCATACTATGTCTCCTCTATAACATCCTCTTCAACCCAGCCTATCCTACTTATCTTCGAGACCGTTTCTCCTTGGTGCGCCCTCCTGAAGTCCTTACTCGTTCTCATCTTAAATCCTATCTTAAAATTGTGCCCCATAATACCGACTTCTACTCCTACTCCTTCTCCGTTCATGCAGTGAGACTATGGAACTCGCTCCCGCCGAACATTCGGGACGCCAAGTCTATCTCTATCTTTAAGAGACAAGTGAGAGAACATTATCTTTCCTCCTGAAATACAGATTTGTTTTTCTATATTTATTTATATATGTATTATAATTGTATTATATTAATTTGTTTTATTGTTTATTATTGTTAATTCTATTGGTTTCTTCGGTCTTATTACTTTTTTTATTAATTGATTTTTATCTTGTTTGTGTAACACACTATGTGTCTCTGTATTATTATTTCTTTTCCTGCCACAGGCCCACAGGAAGAAATTCCAGTTGGAATATGTGGGGCCTATGTACTCTGTTTTTTATTATGTATTGTCCTCTGTGTTGAATGTGTGTACATAAATTAATAAATAAATAAATAAATAAATCATACTGATATATTTGGGTAAATTGATTTATTTATTTTTATTATTTATTATGTATGGAAACTGTATAAGCTTTATACCCCATTGAATCCATATTAATATGTTGATATACCATACCGATAGTCCCCAAAATTTGTTCATATGAAAGTAGTCTCTAAACATCGGAAATAAGGTCTATAATGGAGTGTGTGCAGAGCATTCATCGGTGACCGTGGGAATGGAACAGCTAATGGGGGCTACTGTATTTTTGGTCACTAGACGGTGCAAATGTATTAGCAAGAGATTTGCTTGTCCAATCACTGTCGATCACTGCAGCTGTCAGCTATTGTCATCCAATCGTGTGACTCTAACTAATTCCCTATTGGTGAACAAAAATACGGTTTTTTTTTTAAAGGGGGGATAATCATCGAATGTCTGCTCTCGCCTGGGTGAGGCAGTAGGAAGTGTCAGACTGTTACTGACTGAAAACCACCCCGTTCCTTCTTCTGCACGTCGAGCCGAGCGCGGAGCCCCGGTTACCCGTTAGGTTCTCCGCGACTCCGAATCAGCATCGGCCCTGTTGGGCCTCATCAGTGGCGGTCTGATAACGCGACGCACCGTACGCTCGAGTCTGTTTCTGGTCGGACGGGGAGCCACCCATGCTCGCCGTCCGCATGCCCGCGCTTACGGTGGCCGGAGATCGTAACAAAATTAGGGTAGCCGGTAGCCCCATTCCTTTATGTTTTACCCAGTTACGCAGAACTTGGTGCTTACACTTTAAACCAATCTTAACTCGTCGAGTACCGGTTTTATAGACACAATTAAAGAACAATAGGTCGCGGTCACCGGTGACCGCTTGGTGTTTGACAGTTTAATGTCAATGCAATTTCAATACAACCACAAACATACCTGTTAAAATAGCATTCAGAGTACGAAATATAAATCCAAACTCAATACCATTTAGTTCATTAAATATCCACGCAATACGGGTGCAATGGGCGCTAGTGTTGCAACTCAAGAGTACGAAATTTTACAATACCCTTGTCGATCGAACGGAATTGGATTCAAGAGTAAGCTGTCTACTTATTAATTTCAGATCCAACTCAGTCCAGAAGATGATGACTGTGGTATTTGTGAGGTGTGCATCACAAGGCTCCGGGATGCGAGTGACTTCAAGCTGCAGGTACAGGAGTGCCAGAAGGAGATCCTAGCTAAATATAATGCGTTTACTGTTAAAGGTATGTAGATTTATTATTATTATTATTTTATGGCAGGCCGGAAAACGAGCAGACCCATCACCTGATGGTAAGCAATTGGCGTCGCCCATGGACACCTGGAACACCAGAGGCGTTACAAGTGCGTTACCGGCCTTTTGGGGATTAGAAGTTTGAGGATCGTTGGGGATTCAGGAATTGGGGAGATTTGTAATTGGGCTTCCGGTAACCTCACTCACACGATGAAACACAACGCAAGCGTTGCTTTACGTCGGTTTTCTGTGAGGCTGTGGTATCACTCAGGTCGAGCCGGCCCATTCGTGCCGAACCATGGCTCTCCCACACGTAAAATCACACAGGTTATAATCTAAGCCCCACAAAACCGTTGCAATGGTTTGACTGTGTATTACAATTAAATGTACTGATAATTAAATAGATATATTTTAAGACTCATGCATTTTTGTATAGTTTTATAGGCTACTGAACTGATCTAGTAAATGTCATGAATGACATACTGAAAAAATTTCGAAAAATAGCACATTAGAAACTATAAAACATTTGCCTCTCCCGAAAATCGAACTTGAGACCACTCAACCAGTCTTAATTAGGTACTGAAAAACTTTTGAAACCCATGACACTAAAAAACAGTTTGCTCGACCCGAGAATCGACAAACGAAGCTTTTTTATAACAAAAAATAACAGGTACATACCTACTTAATTTCTTCTTAGCATAAAAAAATAATTTACGTAACATCACGCCTTTTATCCCCGAAGGGTGATTGGGGAGACTGAACAAAGGGGTAATTGGGCCTCCGGTAACCTCACTCACACAACAAGTATTTAATTTTGTGAGAAAATAAAAAATACGAGTCTAATGTTTTAAATTAGTTTGCCAGACGAACATTAAAATAAATTTCAAACAACTACCCTATTCCACAAATAATGAATTTATTTTTTCTTTTATCATTTCAGATGAATCGAGTCCAAAGGTCAAAGAAGAAATACTGGACTTGGATGATGAGAACGGAATATATTTTCTAGGTGAGTAACATAATAACCAGACCTTTAGCCAAACGACACTTTAGCGCTTGTCTACAGAGAGAGTAGAAATCAAAATGTATGGGGACGACACTGACAACTGTCAAAATTCGTCAATTGTATATAAGACTGCCTCGTTGGCCGAGTGGTCGCAAGTGCGACTGCCAGGCAAGGGGTCTCGGGTTCAATTCCCGGGTCGGGTAAAGTATTACTGGGTTTTTTAAAAATCTCAGTAGTAGCACGGAGTTTGGAATTGTGCCCGATATATGGCAATAGGCTCACCCCCTATTACATGGGACTCATAACATAAATAGTGAAAAGTGGGTGTTACATTATACAGTGGCATAATGTGCACCTCTGCCTACCCCTTCGGGGATAAAAGGCGTGATGTTATGTTATGTTATGTATATAATTTGGTTTGCTATTCTACATGTAGACAAGCGCTAAATGGCATTTGGCTACAGCTGCTGACCTTTAACTCTAACGATCTCCGGTCACCCGTAACTGTGGCTCACCAACCGCTGATTAGACAGAACGAGATCTATTGTCACGTGCCTAGCTCAAAGACTCGTCAGTACTTCAGTAGAGGCGGATTAAGCCTAGAATAATGGCCAAACGTCGGCCTATTAAATCACTACATAGTATAAAACAAAGTCGCTATCCGCCGTCTGTCTGTCCCTATGTATGCTTAGATCTTTAAAACTACGCAACGGATTTTGATGTGGTTTTTTTTTAAATAGATTGAGTGATTCTTAAGGAAGGTTTATATGTATAATACAAGCATATTGCACTCGTGCGTAGCCGGGGCGGATCGCTAGTATACTATAAAAAAGAATAGCGTCGTAGATAAGTACCTACCTCATAGGCACTCAATTTTTTTTTGGCTGAGCAATTGGGGAAGCATGTCTCGTGGCGCCCCTTTTTTTGTTCTTTTCTTTTTTTAAAAAAGGCAACATTGCTCCACACTAAGATTGTCTCCTGTGTCGTGGGTGCGTTTACAAACATACAAGTTGACATACACGTGACACCTAAACCCTGAACAAGTCGCGGAGAACCTAACGGGTAACCGGGGCTCCGGCTCGACGTGCAGGAGAAGGAACGGGGTGGTTTTTAGTCAGTAAGAGTCTGACGCTCCCTTCCGCCTCACCCAGGCGGGAGAAGACATTCGATGATTTTCCCCCCTTAAAAAAAACCCTGAACAACAATTTATTTATTTAGACCACACAAAGAGTTGCTCCATACCGCAATCGAGCCCACTACACGCTGCGAGACAGCGGTTGCCCAGCCACCACCTTCTGGGAATTGGGAATTTGAGGATTGTGGAGAATTCGGGGATTGGAGAGACTGGGGAGGGGGGTAATTGTGCTTCCAGTAACCTCACTCACACATCAAAACACAACGCAAGCGTTAATGCACGTCGGTTTTCGGCTCGGCCGCGTAATCACTCCGGTCGAGCCGACCCATTCGTGCAGAAGCATGGCTCTCTCACACTTAAATATGTCATACGACATACAATTTAAAGTTCATATTTAAATGACAAGTTCATTTCTGGGTTGGATCCGTGTCGGGGCCGTGCTTGTTAAGTGTGCAATTGTTTTTTTTATTTATTTCAATTAAAATTATTGATGACCACACCTTCTTTCACCTCACTCAGAGCATATGTAGATGAGACATTCAAGAATCACGTTGCATTATAGCCAGTTGTGAATAATAATAATTTCTTTCAGAATTAAAAGAAGAAATGTCAGATGACTTCGATGACTTCAAAAGTGGGGATGACAAGAAGTTAGTAGAGATGCTCGGCTTCAACGATGTTACTATTAAGAAGAGATCGGATAAGAGAAGGAGTAAGAAGAGATTGCTGCTTGATAGCTCTAGAGATGGTTAGTGGAAGTCTTTTTATTGTATGATGGGACAGGCACAGAGATCTTATACTATACACCGTTAAATTTAAATCGTTTTAATCCCTTGGAGGTTCGAACTGGTCCATGAAACACTATCGATTTGTAAAGATAAAAGTAAAAAATAAAGTACTTTTTTTTTAATACCTCGAATCAATTCTCGCATGAGTGAATAAATAATGCGAACCGTTAGTACTGTTATGTCGGTCCTAAGCCCGTAAAAGTATGAAGGAAAATTTGGAATCAATTTATTTCTTTACCTACGCAAACATCAGTTGATCGAGTCAATAACCTTATGCTTGATCGGGCCGTGTAGGTACCTACACTGCCCGATACGCAACGACCGACGACGACGTAGGTAACTATCTTGTGGCGCAACTTTTGGTTTCATACATTTTGCGAGTATAATCTTATCATTTGCTAATTTATTTATTTTTTATGTTACACCGCAGTACAAGCTTGTAATGAGTAGTATTCTGTTAGTTAAACCACAGGTCCATGGGATAAAAACGACTAAAATTTAACGGTGTAGAAACGTAATTATGAATTACTAGCAACTTCCGTGTGGTTTCACACGCTCTGCTCAGATCCTATTTGGTCGTAGTGTGATGTTTTATAGCCTATAGGCTATAGCCATCCTCGATAAATGCGCCATCCAACACAAAAAGAATTATTCAAATCAGACTTGTACTTACGGAGATTAGCGCGTTCAAACAAACAAACAGAAAAACAAACTCTTCCGCTTTATATAATAGTATAAGATATAAGATAAGAGTATAAGATATAAGATTTCTGGCGGTATAAGTCACTCCTCTGGTATCCTTGGTAGTTCCGATTCATTATTTTCTTTTCATTCTATAAAACTTTACCCCACACTAAGATTTTCTCCTGTGTCGTGGGTGTGTTTACATACATTCAGTTCACATACACATGACACCCAGACCCGGAACAACAATCTGCGGATCACGCAAAGAGTTGTTCCGTGCGAGAATCGAACCCGCGACACGTTGCGCGGCAGCCGGTTGCCCAGCCACAGCATCAACCGTGCAGTCAATTATTGCTTACCATCAGGTGACCCGTCTGCTTCTTTGTCGCTCTATTCACATACCTGTACTGACGTGCGCTCCTAACTACCACTATTTGACATCAGTCATCATGCGCGATTCTTATAATTATGACTGGCTCGTTGGCCGAGTGATCGCAAGTGCGACTGCCGGGCAAGGGGTCTCGGGTTCGCTTCCCGGGTCGGGCAAACTATTACTGGGTTTAAAAAAATCTCAGTAGTAGCACGGAGTCTGGAAATGTGCCCGGTATATGGCAATAGGCTCACCCCCTATTACATGGGACTCATGACATAAATAGTGAAAAGTGGATGTTACATTGTACAGTGGCATTAAGTGCCGTAATGTGCACCTCTGCCTACCCCTTCGGGGATAAAGGGCGTGATTTTGTGTTATTTTTTTTGTTGACGTTCAATATTGCCTTCCTGGTCTAATTGAAATAAATGAATTATGACTTTTATTTATATTTATTTATAATTCATGGAGGACTTACAGCTTATAAAAATGGATAAAATAACAATAGGCGTAGGTAACAATGAACCAATAACAAGTCCTCACATTTAGGATTTGGAATAAATTAATTAATATGGTGTGAGTACTATACAAGATTAAAAATACATACATTCTGCGTAAATGAAAAAGTTAAATATTGAAACAGACCGTGCAGATAATATGATTATAAACAGATCAAAAGAAACAACAAAAAATCATCATCATCAACAGCCTATAAATGCCCACTGCTGAGCAAAGCCTCTTCTCACACGGAGAAGGTTAGAGCATTAATCACCACGCTTACTCAATGCGGGTTGGCGATTTCAAACTTATAATTAGAAATTATAAGTCCAGGTTTCCTCACGATGTTTTTCCTTCACCGTTTGTCAGTGGTGTCTAAATAATCTTAGAAAGTACATATAACTCGGAAAAAGTCACATTGGTACTTGCCGTTGGTAGGTTTCGAACCCGCACCCTCATGCATGAGAAGTGGGCGTCTTAAAAAATACTAAATATCTATTGCTGCTTAAAAAAATTGAGGCTTAAGCACCTCTTTGCCGAGTTCACACTGTTTTTGACATTCAATACAATCTTTTTTACTCCACAGAAATGAAAACGAAATCCCGAGCTATGAAGCTATCGCTCCGCGCGTTCCAGCAGGAGGTGGTCATGAAGGAGATCCTGCCAGTTAATGTATCCACTCGCCACTTTGTCACAGATACCACTAAACATCGAAGGAACATTGATACATTACTCAAATATTCCAATTGTACACCATTCGCGAACAAAACTATTGCAGGTATGTATATTGTGACGTTATTTTACGTGAACTAAAAATCGCGGGTTACTCACGTGAATATACTGAGAAAAGCTCTACTAGTTGAAAAAGTAAAGAAAATGAAAAAGTTCCCCTCGGTTTCCATGGGATCCCATCATCAGATTTTGACCTGGTGGAAATGGGACCACCCCGAAAGTATAACCTAAATAAATAAATAAATAAATCGGGTAAAATACACACAAAAATAACATACAGCTTTTTTGGGAAGTCGGTTAAATATTAAAAAAAAACCCAATAGGACTTTGCCCGACCCGGGACTCGAACCCGAGACCCCTTGCCCGGTAGTCGCACTTGCGACCACTCGGGTAATGAGGCAGAGGAGTTATTGTATTGTATTCTATTCTGTATTAAACTAAAATAAAAATATTTCCAGGAATCCTCTGCGCCTACTGCAAGACGACATACAGGGATCTACCGCACTTACGCACACACATACACGACGAACACAAAACGGACAACTTGATAGAAACCAAACGAATGGACAAAAACAACATGTCTATCAAAATGGATATTACAGAGTTACAATGTATGATCTGTCACGCACACATGGACACTATAAGCAATTTGAAGAAACATCTCACAAAGGATCATGATATCAACTTTTACGACGAAGTGAACGATTATATCCTAGAGTTTAAACTCTCAGACGGCGATATCCTTAACTGTGCATTGTGCAATTCAACATATGAAACGTTCAAAATGTTACTACAACACATGAATGGTCATTACAGGAACTATATTTGTGAAATATGTGATTTAGGTTTCATTAACAAACATAAGTTGAGGAATCATCAACGTACGCATGAAATTGGGACGTTTAACTGTAGTTTTTGCGATAAAGTTTTCAGTACTAAGGTTAGGAAATTGTGCCATGAGAAGTATACCCATAATGCTACTGCGAGGTACACGACGAACTGTCCACATTGTGATAAGCAGTTTACTAGTTATTACCGCAGAAACAGACATATGGCCGACGAACATAACATATCAGCAGCTACATACAAATGCAATATTTGTGAGAAATCCTTCATTTTAAAGTCCAAATTGACATCTCATATTAAAAAAGTACATTTGATGGAACGTAACCATATTTGCTCGGAGTGTGGCCAAGGATTTTTTATTAAACAGTCGCTCGATGAACACATGATTAAGCATAACGGTGAGAGAGTATTCAAATGCACAGTCTGCACGAAGGCGTACGCGCGAAAAAAGACCTTAAGAGAACATATGAGGATTCATAATAACGATAGGAGATTCAAATGTGGTATTTGTTCTTTAGCCTTTGTCCAGAAGTGTAGTTTGAAAAGCCATATGCTGTCGAACCATGCGATCACTTTAGCAGAATATGAAAGTAGTAAAACTGATGCTATTAGTCCTTAGTAGTAGTTTAGGCTTCAAACTTTATCCTAACGTTTTTATGTTGCCGCGGAGGACTTAACGGGTTACCGGAGCTCCAGCTCGAAGTGTAGGAGTAGGAACGGCGTCGTTTTTAGTCAGTAAGAGTCTGACACTCCCTCCCGCCTCACCCAGGTGGGAGACGAAATTCGATGATTTTCCTCCCTTAAAAAAAACCGTTTTGATACTCACCAATTGGCGTAAGTACGGTCAAAGGTCACTGCCACTGCAAGACTACTATCGGTTGCGCTGCAGCGCTTATACACACACACGCATATTTTATCTGTGTGCGTACGCGTGCGTGTGTTTATGCGTACGCCCGCGTGTTTATGCACATTAATATGAAATTACTTACGCATTGCCGTGTGAACATCAGTCACGGTGGCAGTGGACTTTTGACCTTTGACTATACATGTAGCTTTTTTGTGAGGGGCGAAAATCATGCAATGACTTCTTCCTCCTTGGGTGAGAGGAGAGCGAGTGTCAGACTCTTACTGACTAAAAACCACCCAGAAGGCTTTTGTTTTACGTTTAAAGTAACCGAAATGAGACCGTGTTCGCCATTCTGATTGGCTGGCTTTAATGAACCAACCAATCAGAGCCGAACACGGTCTCGCGGTCTCGCGGCTTCTACTCCTGCTTCGAGTCGGAGCTTCAGTAACCCGCCAGGTCGTCCGCAGCCCCGGGTGGTAATATAGCATGAAGTCTGTTTGTCCAATGTAGCTGTAAAAAGATTATCCAATAGTTGGACACTAGGTGGGAGAGCCATGCTTCAGCACGAGCAGAAAACCGACGTGAAACACCCCCCCCCCCCCTTCGCAATCCCTGAATCCCCAACAAACCTCAAATTCCTAATCCCTTAAAGGTCAGTAACGCATTTGTAACGCCTCTGGTGTTCCAGCAGCTGTAGTCAAATGCCATTTAGCGCTTGTCTACATGTATAATAGAAAGCCAAATTTATGGAATTGACGTAAATTTTGACACTTGTCCGTGCGTCCGTCATCCCCATACATTTGATTTTCTACTCTCTCTGTAGACAAGCGCTAAAGTGGCGTTTGGCTAAAGGCCCGGTGTCCTTGGGGGACGCCGATTCCGATTGCTTACCATCAGGTGATCCGTCTACTCTTTTGCCGGCTTCTCACGTAGAAAAAAAATAGGAAATTCTATATTGGACAAACAGGTTTTACGCTACATTTCGCCATCTGGTGAGAATAAAAGCAGTTGCTATAGTTACAATAATATATATATATAATAATGTAATCACTTCAGTCAGCCAAATTTAGTATGCAGGTAAGGAAACAAAGATTGATTCAGTACAGAGACAGTAGCCATTGGTTGTCTAGAGCCGACCAATGGTTACAAAAGATATGGCTTCATTACAAAGCATTAGTATAACTATACCTACTGTCTCTGTAATTCGGAGTCGCGGAGAACCTAACGGGTAACCGGGGCTCCGGCTCGACGTGCAGGAGAAGGAACGGGATGGTTTATAGTCAGTAAGATTCTGACACTCCCTTCCGCCTCACCCAGGCGGGAGCAGTACTTCGATGATTTTCCCCCCTTAAAAAAAAACTGTCTCTGTAATGGATCAATCTATATTTTCTTGTTTCATCATCATCATCAACAGCCTATACCTAAATGCCCACTGCTAACCAAAAGCCTCTTCTCACACGGAGAAGGTTTGAGTTATCACGCTTGCTCAATGCGGGTTGGTGATTTCAAACTTTAGGAATTGTAAGCCCAGGTTTCCTCACGATGTTTTCCTTCACCGTTTGTCAGTGGTGTCTAGATAATCTTAGAAAGTTAACTCGGAAAAAGTCACATTGGTATGCGTTCGATCTCCGGGCCACCACGACATCCATATTTTCTTACCAGCAGCTGTAGCCAAATGCCATTTAGCGCTTGTCTACATGTAGAATAGAAAACCAAATTATATGGAATTGACGTAAATTTTGACACTTGTCAGTGTCATCCCCATACATTTTGATTTTTACTCTCTCTGTAGACAAGCGCTAAAGTGGCGTTTGGCTAAAGGTCCTGCATACTAAAGAACTGGGCTGATTGCAAATTCAGTAATCATAATTATTTATTTAATAATTACAACATCATCTTAGTCCTAATAATGAAATTATATTAACGTTAATGCTTATTTGTTTTTATATATTAAATTAATACTGTTTTCAATACTGTGATTAGATTTATTGACGATTATATAATATTTATGATAATAGGGTAGGTGACTAATTTTTAATTTAATGTCCGTCTGGTAGATTATTTTAAAACATTACACACGTATTTTTTATTTTTTTACAGAAACGAATTGTTTCGACGATATATTGATTTGAAATGTCGCGTGACGTCACTTCTATGTACATTTTATGCGTAGAAATGACGTTTTAGCCCCACTCCTCAACTTTGACTCGTTATATCAAAGTATTGTTTTATTATACGACAAAATAAAAAAATGCGTGTCTAATATTTTTTCATTACCTAACTTATGGACTAATTACATCATCAGTACATATACTGTCATCATCCCTATTATTTTGTTGAATATTTATTTTATACATTATCGTTATTATTTAGTGTAAAGATAGTTTCCAGTTTCATACTTTTGTATCCTACATATTATTATATTGTATATTTTAATTTAATAGTGATAGTTAATATGTAGCTAAATATTCTGTGAATATTTTAAGCAATAAAATGAAATATAGCAATCTATTGTATATCATCTAAAAATCACATTTGTTCTGTGTTTTATGAGAGTCGTAGATATTTATTTTATTAATTAGAAACAACGGTTATATTTGCCCACGTAAATGTTGAGAAAAGGTCTTTTATATCACAACATAGTATAAAGCAAAGTCGCTATCCGCCGTCTGTCCGTCCCTATGTATGCTTAGATCTTTAAAACTACGCAAGAAATTTTGATGCGGTTTTTTTTAATAGATAGAGTGATTCTTAAGGAAGGTTATATGTATAATACATACATATTGAACCCGTGCGAAGCCGGAGCAGGTCGCTAGTATATATATATATGTATATATTTGACGGGCCGACGTTTGACCACTATCTCGCCTGGTGACAAGCGATGATGCGGTCTACGATGGAGCACGTCCCATAAGCATCCTATTCACTCGGGCCTTGAAGACACCCGGGTTATATTCTTCAAGAAACACAGACTCTGGCAAAGAATTCCAGTCCTTAGCTCTACTAATAATGAGTCACAGAGGGTCTCTTTCTCATTAGCAGCGCGCAGACGCAGCGACAAGTAAAGCTTTTCTCATTATTTCCAATGAATTAACCGGTGTTTTTAATCAATTTGGTTATTATAATTTTATTTTAAACTTGTATTTTCAGGTAACTATGGCCCATAGATATATACCATACATACTTATTAAATATTTTAATATATACAATGATGTTAGTAAGTAAACTAAAGCCTATTTCTTAAGTTACGTCTCACAATAGTTATTTAAAAAAATATTAATATTAAATTATTATGTTTTCGGCTTACTTACGTAGTAATTAGGCGGCGACTGTCGCGCTGGTCGCGAAATGCTATGCTGCTCATGAATACGAGCCTCTAGCATGGCTTGAAACTAGTCGAGTTCCTCGTCAAATTACTACGTGAGTAAGCCGAAAACATAATAATTTATTTAGTACGTCTCACGAAAGTTATAATACATTAATATTATTATTGTTTTTTGGTAATATAAACACCAATGTTATTCTTAGTCTTCCAAATGCTAAGAAAATTATCAATTTACATAAAATATAAATAATGAATAAATTTTATGGGACGATGCAATGTTTGTTTGCTGATTACACCTAAATTACTAGACCGAATTTGGTAATGTTTGATACGAAAATAGATAAGATAGATGTAATTGTAAATATGACTGTAGACTATGTAATTGAATGTTAAGTTTATGTTTTCGGTCCATAAATCTTGAACCGATAAGAGATACAATAGAAAATATATTGTCTCTCGCATGAATTCGCGATTAAGCACACGATATATTTTACGATATGGTTGTTCCTCGAATGGTTAACATGACAAAATGCCACGGTGGTCCTGGTGACCGACGTTGGCGAGTTATCTTCAACAGTTTTCTATTGGCAGTCAAAGCCTTAATAAGGTACGGTACGGTCAAAGGTCAAAAGTCCACTGCCACCGTAAGACTACTCTCGGTTGCGCTGCAGCGCTTAAACACACATGCACACGCATATTTGTATCCGTGTGCGTACGCGTGCGTGTGTTTATGCGTACACACGCGTTTTGATACACATTAATATGAAATTACTTACGCATTGCCGTGTGAAAATCACTCACGGTGGCAGTGGACTTTTGACCTTTAACTGTACATATCGTCGGTGCGTCTGCCAAAACTGTTAGGTATGTGCATTTCGTCAAGTTTTCAGGTGAGACCAACAAACTGGTTTTTACACTTATGTAGATACACTGACAGATTGATTGACTAAGTAATAAATTAACAATGCAGTATGGTGGCAAAAAATATTAAGTACTCATGAACTGAGATATTTTTTTTTAAAGAACGTTGCCCCACACTAGGATTATCTCCTGTGTCGTGGGTGCGTTTACAAACATACAAGTTCACATACACATGACACCCAGACCCGAAACAACAATTTGTGGATCACACAAAGTGTTGTTCCGTGCGGGAATCGAACCCGCGACACGTTGCACGGCAGCCGGTTGCCCAGCCACCGCACCAACCGTGCAGTCATAAAAGTGAAAATGATAACTTGTACTGTTAATTCCCAATAACTTTTTACATTTTGATGCACATGCCAGATATATCTTAGAAAACAGTGTAAGGACACACTAGTATGCAATAGTTTATGTAATACGTATACGATTGCATACTAGTGTTTTTTTTTACGAAGGGAATATTGCTACTCGGCGGCTCCCAGCGGGCTCGTGCGTACGTACTCGCTTGATATTAATACCTAACTGA